AAAAAAAACAAGTTTCATTGAATAATTCAAGAATTTGTCAAAATAATTTGTTTGGAATTATTTTGATTTATACACATAATAACAAAATGAATTTATAAACAAGTTGGCACTAAAAGTTGCCATCTACAGATGGAATTTCATAGTTCAATGATCACTGATGCGATTAATTCTTATTTCGCAAAAGTATCATTTAATTTAGTAGGTGTAAATCAAACTTTGAAATTGATATTTGATTTTTTACTTTTAGAATAGCGCAACTTTCAGATGCTGCAGAAGGCAAATTCATTTTATTGTTCACATTATCTCTGTAGTTAATGATGAAAAAAATTGACATTGAACTGATAGAAAATTTTATTCACAATGTTTTTATCTTTCGAAATTATCTCATTGCTTTTTAATTAATCCTAATTTTTTTCACTTGATCTTAAAATGCACATTTTTCGAATAAAAAAATTTCAAATCCCAATTTGTAAAAATTTTTGTATGCATTCAGTATAAGTTTTTTCTGTTGCCTATCGTAGATGATGAAGATACTTAAAAATACAGATTACCATCAACATCATATTTATTAGGCAATATTAGCTCTGTTTTGGTTAATAGCATTCTCAAACACCGATCATTGCTTAATCTGATATTTTTAAACTTTTAGATTCAGCTATGAGAAATGTTTTTAGTATTTTTTTAAATATAAAGTTAAATTTGTCAAGATTTAAATTAACCAATTTATTTATTCATTATTTCATTATTTCTTTATAAAGTAAAGAGTGATTGGGAAAGAAATCCTGAAGTTGCTTATCGATTTATTTGTTTAAACATTAAATTCAAATTTATTTGATCTTTTTTTTTTCATTTCTGATGCTCAATAGAGAATAAATTGATCACTGGACGATTTACCAGATGAGATATGCCAATCATTGATCTTATCAACTACCACTATGATTAGCACTAACAATGGTTAGCGCTAATTAAATTTTTTTACAATAATATGGAAAATTTTTCCATAAACAATACTTGCAATTTTTGCATAATCACCGAGCAAAATAATCACCGATCGGCTTCTGCTTATATATTGACAGTTATGATGATACTACAAGCTATATTGGCTTACGAGAGCCATTTGTTGATGTGCTATATCGGTTCCGCAAAATTCGATCATTTGCCATAAATATATTTCTGATATTAAATAATTTTTGGTTCAATGCGACTAATATCAATTTTCATTTTGCAATCATTCGAAGTGAAAAAGAAATTTTGCTAATTAGCAATGAGCAATTTCAATTGAGCGTTACGCGATTTTAATTCATTCTATTTCATCAATATCAACAAAATGTGAAATTTATGGTAGTGAAGGATCTAAGAGAAAATTTTGTTTTTTATGAAGAGATAGCTTTTTTGATTGTTTACCAGTTTTAATAACATTTTTTAAATTCTGTATATGATACAGGAAATATACATTCTTGTAATCATATGCTAATAAATTTAAAAGTATTAAAAATGCACTGAAATCACTGATGGATATTTACAAGAATAAATCGTTTTCGTGAGTGAAAATACAGTCGTTCAAATTTGCACTTTCATCAGAAATAACAGTTGTTTTCTGAAGACTTTTGAAAACATTGAAATTTTTTGATTTTTTTTATTATTCCGCTTTTAATTTTCTGGATATTCAAATTTCTTGATTTATTTACATATTTAAGAAATTCTCTTAAACATTCAAATTTTTTTCAAATGTTTGATTTTACATTATCGCGGTATTTAAAATATCACATTTTCGAATTTTTTTCTTTTTGAATTTCGGAATTTTCTCAAAAAAAAAAAAAAAAAATTAAAAGAACATCCACATGCAACTGTTTAACAAAAATTCTTTCGTTACATGATTTTTGCACTAAAGATTGCGAAAGTAAAACGAAAGTATGAGCGATGATAGAACGCGCCCTTAAGTATTATGCTTGTTTAACTATAAAAGAAATTGCAAAAAATTTTCGAAACTAAAAAAATGCAGTAATATGACGGCAATTCAAAATACATGCAGAAAAAAGTTAATAAAAAAAGTCTGACAATTGCGAGTTATCGAAAACAAAAAAAGCATGCAAATTAGTGAAAGATGATAATGGCAAGATATTTGTCCAATAATTATTAATATTCTTTCATGACTGTAAAAGTAAAATTATTTGATTCTACGAATGATCTTGAAGACTTTATTTCTTAAGCTGCCGATGGTTAAGGATCAAACCTATCAGAGGATCCTTCGCAATCACGTCTCCTTCATTATACAGCACATATCATTGCAAATCTGGAAAACCCATTACTAACAGCTCTCGACCATACAGTGTAGCACAACTGACCCATCACTTGACCGACCTTCCGATGTAAGTCTCAGTAACCACGATTAAATTTTTGTGTAAGTACAACTGATTGTTGGAAGTTTTAATTCTTCAACATTTCATTTCATATGGAGAAAAAACAGAGAAACCACTGAACAAATTTTCTATCCTATCTGAACAAGGCATGGCTTAAGCAATATAACATTGTAATCTGAAGAATTTAAAAAACATTCTAGCTCAACAAAAAAAAAAAAAACATAAAAATGATTCGAGCTCATCCGTGGAATTCCGACTTAATTCGAAATTTCAGAACCTTTTCAAAAGTTTGCGAAGAAAAATAACAATTCACTGATATGAAAGTTTGTCACTATCTAATAAAGGAAGAAATCTTTTGATTTTATCAGAAAGATTACAGGTTTTCAAAGGCTATTGCCCGTAATACTGTCTAATAAATCATTTCTTCTAATTTACACATTCTTCTAATTAATTTATTGTTTTATTTAATGTATTTCGTTTGAAGTTATTGCTTGAGAAACGATGTAAAGATTGCTCATATTTCCATTAATTCGCAATTTTTAATATTTTAAATTAAAATGAAAAAATTAGTGAATTTGAATAAAATTTCATACTACGAATGATTGATATATAATTGGAAAATATTCAATAATCAATCAAATAATCAAGAATTAATATTAACATTTTTTCTCAGTGTAAATATCATAAACAATTGTTGGATATGCAAAATGAGTTGCTGCAGTCAAATTTGCATATATTTTACAATATTGAAATCAAAATTTTATATCCGTATAACACTAAAAAATAAAATCATGGATCTGTAATTTGCTGAGTTTGCAAGAGACATATTTTATAAAAATATTTTATTGTCCTCCTAAGATATACAAAAAATTTTGAAATTGCACAGGAATTTTAAATAAAGAAAAGCGGATCCATTAATGATTCCTTATTTTCTCCAATTCCTCAATTTCGTTGACAAGCTCAGATATCTTGCAGTATTTGGCGCGCAGCTTTTTAAGTACATCTTTAAGGTTAGCACATTGAGCATTACTTTCAAGACTTATCTGATCTAGCAACGCGGTAATCTCGACCTTATCGTTTAGCAGGCCATAGCAAGGGTTTTCGAGCTGTCCCACTAATGCCTTTATCTCTTCCTAAAGTGAATAACACAATATTTTCCAAGTAATTCTCTACAACATAGAAACTATTCATGCAAAAAAATTAAAACTAATTGACTACTCGAAATACCAAAAAAAGAGTTGAGGATTTCTCGAAATTCCTCAAATTATGAATTGAATGGTTATGCTGTTAGCTGACCGAACGATCTGACAATTTTTGAATTGAACGAAGAAAGTCTTTAAAATTTAAAATAATGTTTGGACATGAAGTTAAAAGGATGAGTTACAGAATGTTCGTAAAATAATGAAATTGTTATTTTCTAAAATTACAAAATTATCATTAGTCGAAGATTAGTGATAAAACATACAGAAATATTTGATGATGCGTTATCCATTGCTGTTGGTTTTTCGTTTCAAACTGAAAAATTACAATAACCTGAATGCACAATATTTCATATGTGTTTTATGCAAAAATTAGTTTTTTCCCGAAACATCATATAAATTACGGGATTTTTTTTAAGGGACTCATCCCACCACCAAATCTTGCCAATAAACCAGCCGCTCATCTGCTCCTCTGCAATGAACTGATGAGAAGTAAATGATATTGTTACTTTAATAACTGATTTCAGAAGAGATAATTTATTCAATTCCGGATGACATTTTATTTTATTTTTGATGACATCATTTGTTCGGTTGACTGCTTGCTGATTGGTGGATATTTTGTGAGTGAAATCTTAACATGGAATTTCGGCTTATTTCCAAATTTATCTCTTCGGAATGATTTCATGTTGACTTTTCCAGATGCGAGAGTGTTCCAATTCAAACATTTGAATCTTTTAAACGGATAGCTGATATTGTTGAATGGGTGATATAATATTCAAATAGCTGATATAATATTCTCTTTGCGCACACTAAAATCATCTTATTTTTTTGTTCAAAATGAAATTCTGATATAACCTATAAATTTGTTACATTTTTTTTTCATTTCTAAAATGAAATTATGGCATAATTTTGTAAATTTCCTTTAAGTATAAAAAAGAAAATTATTTTTGAAATAATAACATTGAGGAATTTATACATTTACAAAGCAAAGTATTGTTTGCATGAAATAAAATTAATTCTTTATTTGTACATTCAATGCTATACTATCAAATTTATTTGTGTTATTACTTTTTGTTGGACTTTTTTAACAAGGATATTCAAAAACAATGAATTGGAGCAAATATTTATGTAGCTGTCATAAATAATGAATTGAATTACAGAAAACGAAAAAATATTTGAACAGCTTGTAAGAAGCAGACGATAAAAATCCCATGTATTCATTAAATAAATGCACTTAAAAACTGCATAAAAGATAATCAATGACGATAAAATTTCAGTTAACAAATCATCATTTACTTTACATCACTAAACACCATTTTCTGTTATCAAATATATTTCTAAAGTTAGCAGTATACATTCTATCCGAAAATCTAACAAAATGTTACTTTTCATCATATTTTTTGCAATTATCATTGGTACGTTGAAGGATAATTTTATTTCATATAATACTCTTTTAGGCTATAGATTCCAAATATCTGGAAAACGTAATACTTGAATGTAATTAAAAAACTCTTGACATCTAATTTAATTTCGGATTAACTTAAACTATTGCAGATGTGGAAAGTTTGGAATGTCCTGGAAGTCAGCTAACAGTAAAAGAACGTAAAAATATCGTTCGTCAGAATAATGTATTGCGTTCACAATTGATTCGTGGAAAGCTTAAAAATAAAGATGGCAGCTATATGCCACGTGGAAAGAATATGCTCCGATTGGTAAAGATGTATTAAAATATTGTTCAAACAATAAACAATAACTTTTCACCTCATCTATCATATTGTAATATCTATTGAATTACTTAACATTAGCATTGGTATTAATGATTATCATTAACTGTTCAGAAGTGGAATTGTGAATTAGAAAAATCCGCACAGGATTGGGCAAATCATTGTCTCTTTAAACATTCACCAGGAGATAAAAGAGAAGGAATCGGTGAAAATGTCTATGCTTACTGGTCAACAGCAAGTGTTGAAAGTATATTTACATATATATTAAAAACTTCTCTGATAGAATTATATCATTAGCGTCTATAAAAATCTGATAAGTGAAATATTGAGAATCAAAAAGTAAACTAATAATAATAACAGTAATGAAGACTAGAAAACGCACTATCAAAAAATGGACAAACGAAATCTCGTTTTCAGGTCGTAAAAATACTGCCGGTACGGATGCCGGCAAAAGCTGGTGGTCAGAACTTCCGAAACTATACAGGAATAATCCAACCAATAATTTGACTGCTGATGTTTCCAAACAAGGTGTTTTGCATTTCACACAGGTAGGAAGATTATCATAGAAATGAGAATAACTGGATTATATATTTTTTTTAATATTTTTTAAAGTGTTTGTTAAAAATTAATTTTCTGTATGGCTAAATGATACGTGAAAAATTGCAAGTTTGTACAAAACAAGCTGATAAATCTTCACAAGCATTTAGCAGTATTTCTGTTTCTCGCAATAATTAAGTCAATCTGATACTTCTATTGCAAGTGGTGTTGTTTTAAGAATACGAATTAAAAGCTTAAAGAATAATACCTCTCTGCAATGTGCCCTCTTAACATTAGAAATAATAGGCAGCTATTATCAGTTATATACATAATCATTTGTGATTTTGAAGTATTGAAGGGATTATAACAGTTCGGTCCGACATTTAGTTAAGGATATTTTTCATGAGTGTAAAAGTTAATTAGGCTTCTTTTTTCTATTCTCATTAAATAAGATGCGAAAAGTGGTTTATTTTTTAAGCTATGATGTCTGCTTGGCTTGTAGCAATTTAATCTTTTCAATGGATTTTTGTAAATTTTATTTGGAAACGTTTATTTTTAGATGGCTTGGGGTAAAACACATGAAATTGGTTGCGGCATTGCTTCAAACTGCGATAACGGTCGCATGCTGATAGTCATTTGTCACTATAAGCCCCAGTGAGCTTTGATATTATTGTCAAAACAAAATGCTTCTAAACATTTATGTTGATAATTATCGTTTTCATTAAGCTTGTTACTTTGCAACTTCAACTTATGTTTCAACAAATTATCTGTTCCAGACAATTCCTTCTTCATTCTTATCGTACTGAATAAACCGTACATACTTTATTTAATTTCATTCATAAATCAAAATTTCAGTGGAAACATGCTAAACGAGCTGATATATGAACTTGGCGAACCATGCAAAATTAACAGCGATTGTCGTACTAAAAAATGTTCCAAAAGATCTGGCCTGTGTAAAATATGAAACAACTTCGCTTTTTCTATTTAATTTTTAGCTTTACAGCACGTAAATAATTAATTTAACATTAATGGGATATTTGTTAGCTATTATGGAATAAAAACGTTTTTCAAATGCTTTGTTGAAATAAAATTTCTCATTTGATATATTACAGAAGTATGAAATAACTGAAAGTTTCCTTTGAATATGGAACAATTAAAATATTTTCTTTGAAACAACGAGTATAAGCAAAGGAAGAAACAAAAGTTACTTATTCAAAATTATCATTGTAATTAAAGCTGCAACTAGCAATTATTTTTTTTTTAAGCAAACAAAGGAACACATTACTTTTTTTTTCGTACCATTCATTTTTTCCTTGTGCAAAATATCGTGTCGGGAATGAATTGATGGAATAAAGGTTATAATATTATTACATTATAAAATATATGACGAAGAAAAATACAAAATGGTCACAACATCGTACTGAAATTTCCTTTTGATAAATTAGCGGAATTCAAAATAAAATGGCTAAAATGATGGCACCAAATTAATCCAACTTTTCATTCAAAATTAAACATAAAAAAGATACAGTATCCGATAAAAAAGAAACGAGATCGAGAGCATCGACAGAATATCCGATGAAAAGAAAGCAAGGGGAAGACATTTCATTTTCTATTTAACAAAAACTATCAAATCAATGGCAATGAGAACAAAGTGAGCTATAAACTGAGCGCAAGAAATGTTAATAAACAATTCAGAATTTGTTTTTTTTTTTGAAGAATTTGAATTGAAATTTAATACTGCCAAATGATCGATGGATTTCGTTCAGCTTGATAGTAAAAATATAATTTTAAATAAAATTTGACAGAATTCAGCTTTTTCAACTAATTCATATTTCAGATATCAGTTTCAATATCCATCATTTTATTATGTTATGGTATAATATTTATTGCAATCAGCATTAGGTTCAGGAAATATTAAAGTTCTATTACCAATCAATTCACTTACTAATTTCTATTGAGCTTTCAAACTTGGCTGCCAAAAAAAGAATTATAATTTTTGCAGGAACTGACCCAAGCAACTCTGAAAGCAACTAATATGAATCCACCAGTTATTACAGTTGAATTTTGAAGTATATATAAACAGTATTGCCATATACAGCTTAACCTTTTTCATCAGTGTGCCATTTCTTGTCTACTCTGAACTGAAAAAAAAAAGTACTACCTGGAGGACCAGGTTCTCCTGGCTAAAGTGTTTCACTCGATGCGTCTTTGCCTTGTTCACCAGGCGGTCCAGGAGGTCCCGCCGGACCTCGTTCACCTTCCTCACCTTTCGTACCCTCTTTTCCCACTGGTCCATCGGGTCCCGGCTCTCCTGATTCTCCGGATGGTCCCATTTCCCCCATTTGTCCTTCTGGACCAGGTTCACCTGGCGGCCCAGGAGGACATGGTTGCATGGTGGTGGAGTAATTGGTTCGCATGGTTGTAATGGTGGTCGTCCTGGATTTCCTGGGAGCCCAGCTGCTCCAGGATTTCCTGGTTTTCCTGCTCTCCCTTGCGGTCCTTCTGG